GGCGCCCTGGCCGTATCCTAGTCCATCCTCTCCGGAGGTTATGAAGTGGTCGATGGCCCTCTTCCCGTAAAATCTAGCCATGAGACAGCAGGTGTACGGGTTATAAGCTCACAGCTCAATTGACGTAGTGCATGAGCGCTACACATTGTCTCTGACGGTGGGACGGCACCTCCGGGTGTTCAATGGTTTGCTATTGCCCGCCGCAAGCCAGGCAACCCCTGGTCAAATTGGTGCAAACCCGCCAAAATTCACCTGCGTCTGGTGGTGGTCGCATGTACGTAACTTACTACGGTAGCAAAACATGTATCAATGCTTTCAGTACCACAAACGCTGCTTGTGAGGACCGTCAAGCAGATCCCAACTTGTCTCTCTAATCACCTTCCTGAGCTGGATCTGCTCCTCACTGCCTTGTGAGTCAGGCTATTGAACCAAAGGCTCCGGGCGGAGTCCCTCAAGCAAACCTCCAAACAACCCACTGCATTGCGAGTCAGGCCATTGAGCCAAAGGCTCCGGGTGTAGTCCCTCAAGCAAATCTCCGAAGCACGACCGCGACCTCGCATGCGATCGCCCACCAAATGCAATCGTATGCCTACGCGCAAAGCACTCAGCATCGGGTGCTGGAACCTGTGCACACTACTGGACCGGAACTCTAGTGAGCGCCCCGAGCGACGCACTGCACTGATCGCGATGGAACTGGCACGCTACCACATCGATATTGCGGCGCTCAGAGAAAGCCGGCTCGCTGAGCAAGGTAAGTTGAATGAAACACGTACTGGCTACACATTGTATTGGGTGGGGAACGCCGCCTCAGCACCACGTGATTATGGGGTCGGATTTGCAATATCCGATCGCCTCCATGGCCAGCTGGTGGGTGAACCAACAGGCATCAGTGCGCGACTGATGACTGTTCGCCTACGACTCGGAAGTGGTAAGTTTGCCACCTTTATAAGCACGTACGGTCCGACCATGTGTGATCCTGATGACACGCGTGATCAATTCTACACTCAGCTATCCTCCGTGATACGGTCTGTGCCGGGGGCGACCGACTATTTCTGCCGGGTGATTTCAACGCGCGCGTTGGACGTGATGCATCGGTGTGGACAGATGTTATCGGTTCGCATGGCATTGGTTCAACGAATGCGAACGGTGACAGGCTGCTCACGCTGTGTGTCACTCAAGGCTTGACGATCATGAACACTCGGTTCGCACTGAGTGCGAGTGATATAGCAACTTGGACGCACCCACGGAGTGGTCATGCTCACCTGCTCGACTATGTCATCGTACGTCAGCGTGATATGCGTGAAGTGCGCATGACACGTGTACTGCGTGGAGCTGAGTATGGCACTGACCACAAATTGGTGCGAACCAAACTGTATATATATTTTCGTGAATCTATGTATTGCACTCCCGCCGTAAATCGGCGTAAATTTAACATTCTCTCCCTCGGTACTGTGCAGAAACGTATCGAGCTGAAGAAGGCGATAGCTGCACGCCTGTGTGATGTGGAATGTATAGCCACAGTGGACGACCTGAGGCACCACATCCGCGACCAGGTGACAGCTGCTGCCGAGGAGACCATCGGGTGCGCTAACTGTAAGCGGCCTGATTGGTTTAGTGAGAACAATGCGACGATCGGCGCATTGGTGTCGGAGAAGAATGCAGCATTTGCTGCACATGTAGCAGACCCCAGTGACTTGGGGAAGAATAGTCAGTTTTGCCAACTTCGACGGCGACTGACCTGAAAGCTCCGTCGCAGTAAAAATGCATGGTGGATGGAGAAGGCGAAGCAGATGGAATGCTACGCCCAACGTCGCCAACACAATTAATGCTTTGACTCCTTGAAGGCGGTGTATGGACCGAGATTGGAGCCGCTGAGGACGCTCTGGCGCTACCTGCACACAGACTGCAGACATAATGCAGATCTGGCAAAACACTGACTGTCTCTTGAGCAACCGTTCAGAGATTGACTAGCCTGCTTTGAACGGCCTGAAGCAGAACGATGTGAAGGCGAGTCTGTTGGACACGCCGACAGTGGATGAAAGGCAGAGAGCACTTGTTCACCTGCGAAACGGCAAGTGTGCCGGGGCTAACGGGATTCCGCCTGAAGTATTGAAACACGGCAGACCTGCGTTGGTGAGTGCGCTGCACCACTTGGTGCAACGCGTGTGGATTGCGGAGGAGGTGCCCGCTGCGATAAAGAATGCGCTTGTGCTACCACTGTTCAAGGGCAAAGGGAGCAAGCAATGGGCCACGAATTATCGTGACATCAACTTGCTGAGTTGTGTGGGCAAGGTGATTGCCCGAATCCTGTTCAACCGCCTCGTCAGTCAGGTTGTGGAAATTAACGTGGCGGAAGAGCAGTGTGGATTCCGTTCAGGTCGCAGCAGTATAGATATAGTGTTGCGACTCGTCAGTTGCAGGAGAAGTGCAGAGAATGACACCAGCCGCCGTACTCGCTTTTGTTGATTTCACCAAAGCATTTGATACGGTGAACCGCGAAGCATTGTGGCTGGTGTTGGGTAAGTTTGGTTGCCCGCGTAAGTTTGTAAGTTTAATTGAATGTCTCACAGTGGTGTGCGGGCGAGGGTGCAGCTGAGTGGAGAGACCTCGGATGACTTTGCAGTTGTCACTGGTGTGAAGCAAGGCTGTGTCTTAGCTCCTGTCCTGTTTACTATTTATCTTCATACAATGGTGTCTTGGGCTTTTGATGCGACTTGTGCTTACGGTGTTCGTGTGGAGGACCGTATTGATAGTGGGTTGCTAAACATCCGTCGTTTCGGTGTGAAAACTAGCCTGTGAGACAACTATCCGTAGGTTGCCATTTGCTGACGACTGTGCGTTGTTTGCACACAGCGCGTATGAGTTGCAGCACATGACTAGTGCACTGTCATCGACAACGGTCAAATTCGGGCTCACCATCAACACAAGCAAAACTGTCTCTCTTTCAGCCTTTACCGGAGGTGCAATCTGCAATATTGCCGAAATATTAGAAACCACCTCCCGCTTCTGCTACCTCGGGAATGTGATGTCGACTGACCAGCAGCTTCACAGTGAGCTGCGTATCCGCATCTCTAAGGCAGCGGCGGCATTCGGGAAGCTAGAGTACCGAGTGTGGAACCACCATCAGCTTACCGCTGGCACGAAGCTGATGGTGCTGTCCGTTCTTCTAAACGGTAGTGAAACGTGGACGATGTACCGGCAAGATGTGCGATATCTCGAGCATTTCCATCAACAGTGTTTGCGACGGATGCTGCGCATCGGTTGGTGTGAGAGAGTAGCGGACACGAAAGTGTTGCGCCGAAGTGGAATATATACAGTGAACTGCATACTATTGCTGAGACACTTGAGGTGGCTCGGTCATGTGTGGCGTATGGATTCGACGCGGCTACTGAAACAACTATTATATCGTCAGCTGAGTATTGGGAAGCGACATGTGCGGAAGCCGAAGTTACGGTACCAGGACATGATCAAAGTGAGCCTCTCACGTTCTAATCTTGATTGCAGGTTATGGGAATCGAAGGCGGTTGATCGGCATGCATGGCGCGATCTGATCAGGAAGCCAGTTTGAGGTGCGGGAGAATGACTTCATGCATGCAGAGAATAAGCGGCAAGTGCGGAAGGCGCAGGCGCCGATGGGTTGTACTCCATCGACATCGAGCGCATGGTGCTGGAGCACATGCGGTCGCGAGTGCCTGAGTCAGGCAGGCCTAGTGAGCCATGAGCGAGGCCACTCAGGGCAACCGCCGAAGCGACGACGTGTCCCGCTGAGAACGTAGGCAGAACCGGCGCAGCGTTTGTAGGTACGATGTATTCGATTTACTAATCGTGTGGTTGTATGCTGGGTCTCTTTGTTTCAGGTGGTGAGTTTGCTTTATTGGCTCCTTAATGTGTACCTGCTCTGTTTTCTATTAACTTGCACACGTCGCTCAAGATATTTGTAGTTAACTTTGATAACAACGTTTGAATGATGGACTGGCTGCGGGGTAATGGCGGTTCCGACGCCAAGCAGTGAAATCCACTAAGAGGCTCTCACTGATTCCGCCTCGTCTTCGCGCGATATCCAGGCCATATGGTGTTAGAAAGGTGTAGGTGGCTCGAAATGATGGTCTGTTTGTGGCACTTAGGTCCCGCATTAGATCCTTCTTGCTTCCACTTAGGAATATTCCTCAGTGTGTAGCTATGGTTAGATGGCACCCCGGCATCAGTACAAACGACTGATGTACCATTGTATACGACGATGAGGGCTGGTTTGTGCTGTCTTCGTGGATGGAGTCTTTGGGGTAGAGAAATACTTCAGTCAGTATTCTGAGGCTGAGAAAGTTAGGCGTTCACTGTATTGTTTTGTACTTACTGTTGTTAACATTTCGTTCTAAAATATTCTTAGTTTCTTCCGAGCTATTTTCCGGACGAGTTGTGCCGAGAAACTCGTGATCACTTGCTGTTCGCCATGTTTCCCCTCATTCTGTTGGCAAAAGTTGTAGTAACCAAATCCGCTGAAATTTGGAGCATGAAACACGGTTGACCAACGGAGAAGCAATGAACAAGAGGACCAGTTTATGTTGCGATGCATCATCAGCACAATTTCTTCCAGGTGTGAAGAGGAAACTTCGGTCGGTGGGACGCCCGCTATAATAGTTGAAGTGGCTGAGATAGCCTCCAAATGATAAAATAGCCGTTTGTATCCCTTGGCGCCAAAAAAGAGGAGCAAATAATAATGGATCGATGTGCCGATGCAAGCCGGTTTGCCCGTTTATTAGATAGTTTCACTTGATTGTAAAAGTGGGCACTATCAACCACTCGAACTAACACCTAGCCGAAACCCGGTCCAATCACAGGTAAAGGCAAACGCGTGAGGAAAAATATTTACGTAGGTTACAAAGTTTTAAACAACTCAGTAGGATGATGCAGTGCGGGAAGACGATATCCCTAATACACAAGAAATGACACTACACCTTGCTTATTAAAACAGATGCAAAGACATAAGAAGGAAGATAGCTTACAATCAGCCGAAAGAAGTTGTTCCAGGCACCATGAAACAGTTGGATGAAGGTGAGTTTGCACAATGTCAGGTCGAGTCACGAGGCGGGCCAACAAAAATGAAGCTGGTTCCTGAATACGCGTATCGTGGCTCAAATACCGCTTAGACTGATCGAGTATGCGTTCTGTAATGGGCTCTTGATCGTTTGAATCCAGAGATGTCAACTTAAATGGTACCAATGCCAGGATAGATAGCCAAAGTAGAAGCACATAACGAGTTTCCCATGTCTAGGGAGTCGTGAGTACAGTAAAATGGAAATGAGTACCTTGGGATCATTGATATCCTGAGAAACGAGCAAACTCAAGACCGGCTCGATATATTCAACTGTATGAGGCATCAAGCGGATAATCGACTTGTATCCTCGAGTCTTGACCATCAAATGCAGCACACGGAAAGCAAAGTGGAACGCATTTGGGTCATCATTGAAGGAATGGACAATAACTAGGCATTCTGAAATGAGCCGTTCTAAACAGGGATCCAGCAAATGAGGTTGTTCTTGGTACAGGTTGAAGATACCTAGGATGTGGAGAAGCAAATTATTTGATATACCAATTACGCTTAAGCTCCTCGTATAGTCGTTCCTCACTGACGACGTCTTTAGTTGCATTTCTGATGGACTTGATGCACGAAAGTACCTCATCGAAGTGCTGGAATTCGTTGAAGATAAAACATTTTTCCTCTTCAAATGGTTCGCTAACGGCGCACATCTAAACAGAGGTGAAAAGGAAGAGATGACTCGGTGAGTAAATGGTAAGATCGCGGGATAAACGTAGTCATTATTATCACTACACATTAACTAAAGGTGAGAAACACGTCAACCATTACGCCGCAAAACAAAAAGATAAACGAAAAAGTGCGACACTAAATATTAGAATAGAAACATGGCAACACTGCTTAGTAACATATTGTGCATCGAGACTGGGAATAGTAAAAACTAGTAATCAAGCGCAATCAAGCGCGGATATCAGAAGGTAACTGAAATCGGACAAAACGGACTATATTTGACGGGCCAAGGAGACGTGGATGGATGAAGCGAGACAGGAGCAAAGAGAGCGACAAGTTACAGAGCACACGAATGTCAAGCCGGGTGTAAGGAAAATTAAAACAAAAAAGAGTAATGCACAATCGGTCAGCAATGAAATTGTACGTCATCATTCATCATTATACACGTCAGCTAGAGGTGGGAAACACCTCAGCTATTGTACCGCAATACAAAAAGGAAAAGAAATACAACAGTTGCACGCCAGCTAAGCTACCAGCAACGGATAGTCATTGTTCCGGTAAGCTACCAGCCGGCAATTAGGCAAAAAGAAAAATTATGTTTTACGCTAAAAAAATCGAATGGTAGGTAGATGCTAAAAGGGATGGGGAAGGACAAAGAAACTCACAGCACGAACGCCACTGAGGTCGGCTCCCTGCCATGTCAGCAAGTGTATCCAGCCAAATGCGTTCATCGTCTTTTGGACCCCAACCAGGAAGTCGTGACGCTCCAACCGAGGCCAGCACAGAAGTGAAGGCCTTCATTCCTCTCGACCAAGTCATCGCTTGGCCACCCCTCCTCTTCTTCCATCCACATCCTCGGAGAGCAAACAACGCACGTCGAGGGAGTCGGTGGGCTGGCATGCGCAACACGTGGCCCAGCCATCGGAGTCTGGTACGTGAAATGACGGTGCTGAGCGGTTCAGTTCCCTTTTCTGTGCCGTAAACAAGGCGTCGAACACGCTCGTTACTCACGCGGTGTTCCCACCAGATGTGAGCCAAACTGCGAAGGCATCGATGATCGAACGTAACTAGTCTCTTTATGTCCGCCGATCTTAGGGTCCAGGTTTCGCAACCGTACAGTAAGGTCGAACGTACCGCTGCATTGTATACTCTACCCTTCAGGGCGAGAGTGATGTCGCGTCGCCGCCATAGGTGGCGAAGGTTAGCAAAAGCACTTCGAGCTTTTGCTATCCGGTTCGAGATCTCGTCCTCGATCCCCAGGGCGCTGATACAACTTCCCACGTAGTTGAATTTCCGAACGACTTCTAGCTGATCCCCACCAAGGGTCAGCGCAGGAGGCGATCCCTGCCAATCTTAGAGGAATGCTTTCCATTTCGATGGTGCAAAGCGAAACCCGAAGCGGCTGACAGCCAATGCTAATCTGTCCATCGCGGCTTGGCACGTCTGGGAGCTGTCACAGATGAGGGCAATGTCGTCTGCATACTCCAAGTCAAGAAGTCGTTCTCCTGGGAGTAGCTCCACACCTTCCAAGTTATGTCCTGTAAGTGTAATCTCCATGACTTCGTCAATAGCGAAGTTGAAAAGGAAAGGTGACAACGGGCATCCTTGTCTCACACCGCTGGAGATATTGAAGGTTGGCGACAGCTTGCCGTAAGCTCGCACTCTGCCCGTGCTACGCGCATATAATGCTCGGATAATATCCACATATTTCTCGGGCATACCTTTCCTGAGTAGACAATTCCAAAGGGCACATCGATCAACCGAATTGAAGGCACCTTTGATGTCCAGAAACACGACTACGGTGGGCCGCCAATATGTGTGACGGTGCTCTGACAACTGACGCAAGGTGAAGATGTGGTCGATGCAGACACGACCCCGAGAAAACTCGGCTTGCTCTTCACGAATCTGAATATCACAAGCGCCAGTCAGTCTGTGAAGGATTATGGAGGCGAGTAATGTGGAGGCGATGGAGATCAGACTGATTCCTCTATGGTTGCCGCATTCCGAACGCGAGCCTCCTTTGAAGATGGGAACAATAACGGAGCGGCTCCAGTCGGTTGGTTGCTATAAGACGGATCGTGGTTGGAAAAGGAAGATAAGCAGGATGAAGAGGGGCAGAGAAAGTCACAACACAAACGCCATTGAGGTTGGCACCTTGCTAAGTTAACTAGTGTATCTAACCAGACGTGTTCATCGTCCTTCGGTTCATCATCAACAACAGCATTACATCAGCCGTTTGAACTGATGCTTCACTGCCATGCAACCACGATGAGCTATGAAATAAAAATAATAGGGAGAGAAGGGGGACTTACCTGAAAACCTTAATGCCCTAAGCAAACATTCAGGGTCAAGGCGTCTACACCTTGTGTAGACATGCCGTCGCAAACAGCTGGCTAGCGTGCAAAGACAAGGCGACATCGGCGAGACAGCTTCCTTGCGGCTTTCACTGCCACGCGTCATAATCAGCCATTACCCCGCAGATAACTCAGCACCAAACACACTTTAAACAAGCAATCCGATTAGGAGACGGCACCAGACGCGTCACTGGTCTCGGTTGCCAGCCATGTCTCGTAAAGTCTCGAGCTAAGCACAAGGCGAGTCACGTGGACTCCAGCCCGGAAGACGAAACGGACCAACGGCAGCCAGGTTGTTCGTCAGTGACTTCATTTCCCGCTGCCAAGTCAACTTCTGTCCATCTCGAGCCTTGCGCCACCCTGGCAGACTAAACAGGGCCCTCCTAGGTAAGCGGTGACCAGGCATACGTAGCACGTGCCCGAGCCAACGCAACTTATTCAGTGCTCTGTTGTTCTAGGGAGCCAGCATGTTTATCGCTGCCTAGTAGTCGTCTACGCACATAATCGTTGCGGACACGCTGGTGCCATCCGACACCAATAATGCTTCGCAGACAACAATGATCATGCTACGGAACCCAGCCTGGTAGTCGGTAGACACTAACCGACGCTAAGTTCGAAGTGGGAGCCTTCATTCCTCTTGACTGAGAATCGCTTAGCCTATCCTACTCTTCTTCCATAAACACTCCCGGCGCGCAAACAACGCACTTCGCGGGAGTCGGTGTGTTGGCATGCGCAACACATGACAAAGTCATCAGAGCCAGTTGAGTGAAATAACGATGCTAAGTGTTTTACTTGCTTTGCCTGCGCCAAATACAAGATGCCGAACAGGCTCAATGCTCACGCGGTACCTCGACTAAACGTGAGCTAAGCTGCGAAGACAGCGCTGATTATACGTAACTAGCCTCTTTAGGTCTGCCAATCTGGTGGGCTAGGTTTCCCAACCGTATGATAGGGTTGAACGGACGGTTGCACTATAAACCCTGCCCTTCACGGCGAGAATGATGTTATGCCGGCGTCACAGGTAGCGAAGGTTGGCGAAAGCGCCTGGAGCTTTAGATATACGATTCGTGATTTCATCTTCTACTCCAGAAGCGTTAATATATATGCTTATGTGCTTATACTTCTGGACGGTTTCTAGCTGACCAACACAAAGAGTCGTGGGGCAGTAGGTCCCTGCCGATCTTGGAAAAGGATATTGCATTTCGACGGTACAAAGCATAGCCCGTAAAGGTTGACAGCCAGTGCTGACCTGTCCAATGCTGCTTGGCAGGTTTGTGTGCTGTCAATTTAGGGTGGTGTCATAAGCGTACTCCAACTCAAGAAGTCGATCACTTGGTAGAAACTCCACAACTCGTAGGTAATGCCCGGTAAACACAGTTGCCATGACTTTGTCGATGACGAAATTAATAAAATGTGATAGCATCATCATCATCATCATACACGTTAGCTAGAGGTGGGAAACACCTCAGCTACTGTGCCACAATACATAGAAAAAAGGAGAAAAAATGCAACTGGTGCAAGCTGGCTGAGCTACCGGTAGCGAATGGGCATCGTTCCGGTAAGCTACCAGCCGGCTACTGTGCACCAAAAAAATATTACTATGCAAAATTATATAAGGCGAAACAATGAGATCGTGGTTGGAGGGGGAGGTTAAGAGGGATGGGGTGGGACAAAGAAACACAGCACAAACGCCACTGAGGTCGGCTCCTAGCCATATCAGCAAGTGTGTCCAACCAAACGTGTTCATCGTCTTTCGGACCCCAACCAGGGAGCCGAGATGCTCCAACTGAGGCCAGCTCAGAAGTGAGGGCTTTCGTTCCTCTCGACCAAGTCATCGCTTGGCCACCCCTCCTCTTCTTCCATCCACACCCCCGGCGCGCAAACAACGCACGAGCGGGAGTCGGTGGGCGGGCATGCAAAAAAGTGCGAAATACAAGTGGGAATACAATGAATCGCACTTCAAACAAAAGGTGATAGCGAGTAGCCATGTTGCATACCGTTGGAGATATTAAAGGGCGGCGACATTTTGTCATGTACCCACACCCTGCCCGACCTAGGCGTGTATAGCACTCTGGCGATATGGCTCTGCTTTCATCCTATCCTGAAAAGCGGCGACTACCCGCCGCTTATCCACTTACCGGTCGGATCGATAATACGCACGCCCCCCATCTAGCTTAGAAACGTGTGACTCATCTGGAAGCGACACGTCGGACCCCTCTGGAGCGACGGATGCAAACAGCTGGCTTCAAACCAATGCCGATCGCCCTGCAAGGAACAGTGACGCGATGCCATACACGGTGCGTTAGTATCTCTGTCCTCTTGTCACCCCAGTTGTAGAGTACACAGTAATAATTGCTCTACTTGTTGTTGTGGAACCTTTACACCATATCACTGCCAACTGTGGTCATTCGTAGTTCACTGCCCAATTACTGGCCGTGGTCACATATAGCAGTAGACTTATTTCACTCCAACCTAGTGGAAACGTAGATAAGTGAGACATCTACAGCCTAGATCCTGAACTCTGCTTTTCTATCTAACCCATTTTGGGATTGGTCCAAGCCACAATGACCGCAAAAGTCTCAGGCAATTGTTTGTTTGTTAACAATCCTCAATTTCCGTTACCCGATTCAT